TCTTATCAGTTTGCAAACACCATGTAGTGCAAATGCATATTGGGAAGTGGTGAACTTTTCTGCTCAGCCGATAACCTTCCAGTATTGCTGTGGCTGACTTAGATGTGCAGGCAGGGTGTTTCTGTCCAACTTAATGCCTTCAGCTTGGACCTTTTGGGTTTTATAACCAGGAAAGGCTGCAACATTTATCTTAATTAAAGGGAAATGATGATTTATTTGGCAGGCTGACTGGTGTGCTTGTATGCACAATGCCTTTCCCAGTGGGTTTTGGTCTAAACCATAGGTTCAGGGAGAGCTGCTGGAGTAAAACTGCAGGAAAATGAGTAACATGTATTGATTTGATACCTGGGGAGGAATTGGGCAAAGGAGCAGTGGATATATGCAAAGTGACGTGCTTCTCCCTCCAAATGCCCGCTGTTCCACCAGTGCAGCGAGTTTTCTGTTAGTGGCAACACTGACAAGGCAGTACTTAAAGCTGTCACTGTTTTCCAGAATCCAATTTTTCAAGAAGCTTATAGCTCTGCCATTATAAGAAGAAGAAAAAAGAAAAAAAAAAAAATTCACTGAAATTGGGTAAACAGCCTTCTATCTGAAAAAGACATGAAATATACGTACTTCTGAGCTATAGGTAAAACTGTAGAGGTGCTTTAAACAAGGTTCATAATAACATTTGGTGTCAAGTCGAAAGGGCCTTTGTGGCTTTCTTAGTCCAATTATTTCTTTTGGCAATGAGTTCATAGACCAGAATATCCTCAACTGAGTCCAGTTTTCTCAACCAAAGCAGCAACCTGTAGTTTCAGTTTTTCCCCTCTGTGTTCAGCCTTAGTTTCAGTAAAGTTTAGCTTTAGTCTTCTGTAATTGAAGGCATAAATAAGTCTTTTAAGACACTTGGATGGTTACAGAAAATTGAGGTGAAGGGAAAAGTTTTTTTTAAAAAAAATACTTAGGATTAAAGAGATCTGCTCATAAGTCAATGTTAGATTAATCCCTCCTGTTCAGCCTGTGATTGCCATGAGTTTTAAGCAGGAATTTGCATGTCTGTGTCACCTTACTTAGCACAACTATATTTGTCTACTTTGATTGACAACACCGTGTATTTATCTCAGAAAATACACAAATGATTCACTTACATCAGCCTCAAGTAGGAGGACTGAGCTCTGGACATCTGGATTTATAAGAATGAGAGTCTGTCGGTCAAATTAAAGCATCAGGTACATTTATGCTGAAGGTAGGGGCTGACTTGCAAATGTGCTTTTTCCCTTCTCACAATTAGACCGTCTGGTCAGCAGGGCTCAGTAGCGGGAATCCTGCCTGTGGAGTGGGATAACTTGTTTGCTCTAAGCGTGGGCGGCCTGTTGTGCTTTGTATTTTGTGTTATAGGTGTATCTTCTAGTAACTTTAAATTCCTGAACATGGCCTGGGGTTGTTTTGAGGATGACGCCTGTTTCAGCTCAGCTTCTTCCCTCTACCTCGTGCAGCCCAAAACTCACCCTCCCATTTCCACGTGTGAAAACTTCTGGCAATTAAAAATGTTTCATAGGTGCAGGTTTTGGTTCTGTGCCTCAGTGACTGGTGTTTGCAAACAGCTGAATTTGTGATGAAGTGTAGTGCCTGGGGCTGTGTGTTCTGACTTTGATTGGCTTAGTGCCTTGTTTTGAATGCTGTGATCTGTAATACACGGGATGCAAGAGCAACCTCTTACTTCTTCGCATCCACCCTGGACACATTTTCCAGCCCAATTGGAGTGAGACATGATCAAAAGTAGTTCTGTAATTAAGAAAACGTTGAACCTCTTGTGTGTGTTAAGCAAATGAGCTAAAGCTTTTAGCCAAGCAATTAAGTGTTAAGGTTTGACTGGAAGGTGAATGTAAACTAGACAGTTTCTTCAGTTAAGCTTCCCATAATCATTCCCTTAGTATGAATTCAGTACAGTGCAGAAGGGAGGCAGCATAGCCTGATGGATAAGATGATGATGATGATTATTATTATTATTGAAGATTATTGCAGCACAAATGAGCAGTAGAGGCTCCAGCTGAGGCTACGGTCATATTTTGATAGGAGTTTTACTTTATAGTAGGATAAAAGACAAACTCTGCTCAGACAGACTCTGTAACAAAAAAATAACAAAATAATTTCTTTGCATAGATACGGAACTGAGATGCAGAGAGATTAAATGCCATGCCTTCCATGTGGCCGTTGGAAGGCAAACTTGATCTTGTGGCAAAGGCACTGGGGGAGGGCGGTGTGTGTATGTGTGAGGTACGGTATGGCCAGTGGGAAGCATAAAGCTCTGTTCCACTTCGGAAGGGCAGGTGGGGGAGGGTTGTGGTTCTGTAATGCAGATGCTGGATTACTTGCAAATTCTGTTTTCACTTCCTTCATCTGCTCTGTTGGCATGGGTTAGTTATTTTAACTTCATGGCTCTTGCTGTCTTCTCTGGGGTATCAAAGTACTTGATTGAGTTTGCAATCGATTGAGATCTAGGGACAAGAGTGTTCTCAAAGTGGTAATTTGCTGCTTCTCTTGTTACAGTATATTACATTTACGTAAGAATTCCTATCTGATTATCTGACTAGGGAACAAACTTGTAAAGGGGATGGCTTCTTAACTATGACTTTATTCCTTGATATTGTGTTTATCTCATCTTTCCACTTAAGGGTCCTTGCTGGGGGCATTATTGGTTCAGTTCCAATAAATCATGTGTATGGCTTTTTTCTTTTTTGGGGAGGGCTTTTGCTGATCAGATCAATATGGTAGTTTGTTTAAGGCGGCATGTCTCAAGAATATTGAAAAATGTCAAGATAATTTCAAAAGCAGTTTGTCTTTCTATTGTGTCTCAGCTTGGAAGCTCTTACTAATGTTTCTGGCTTTGTGTTTCTGTAGGCATTCTTGCTGGCGTTCGTGTACTCATTGAAGGTGTCTCCACTCATAGAAAAAATAAGTGACCACAAGGATTTTAAGAAGCTTCTCAGGACACGGAATAATATACTAGTGCTGTATTCCAAATCTGGTAAGCCCTTTTTTATTTTTTTGGATGTCACAGCTCTTTGTGCCCAGCAAGGTGTGTGTGTTTGAACATCTGTATGCATGTTGGGTTACCTGTGTGCATGCTCAGATGGCTAAGCACTTCACCCTTGCTTGCTCTCTGTTCAGTGTTGCCTTATGTAACTGCAGGGTGCTTCTACATGACTACAAGGGGTTCCTCAGCACTGGTGTCCTTTGTTCTGACTCGGAGGCTCCTGATGTTTCAAGATTTGAGTCCTCTTAATTTAGTCTTTGAAGTGCTCTGTCACATTGGCAGAAATGTACTTTATTCTGGCTTTGTCTCCAAAACTGACTTCTCATAACAGCTATCAGCCAGACCTTTCTGGTGTGTTTATCACGGTAGTTTGAAAGTTTCGATTTCCTGGTGACACTGAAAGGCTTAATGAGTAGCTCTAGTACTGAAATCAATCCATCTTTGCTTCTGACAGCTTTGAGCATCCTATGGTTGTCTTTCAACTTTAATTAACAAAATAGAAAAATAAAAATAAAACCCAAGCTGCTTGTGTGAGAGGGAGAAATGGCTGATTTCACATCATGCCGCTTGTCCCCTTGAATCTCTTTTCTCTCTTGTCTCTCATTTAGGCCCTCCTTTCTTGCCGTTCACTCTTGCTCTTACCTGTCTGTTTGCTCTTCCTTTTGCTCTGTTCTGCTCCTGCTGTACCTTTTCTCCTTTATTGCTGCGTTTGTTTTGGTGTGTTGTTTTGTGTGACACCATGGAAAATGAAGAAACAGTCTTTAAGCTCCATACACAAGCGCAGAATGCTGTTGTGGATGGGGAAGTCACTGGAAAGCAAGAAGTAAAATGTGTCACTAAGAAGATTTTCCTTAGAGCTGTATTGTTTGTGTTGTTGCTTCGTTTTCCTTCCTGCAGGCAAGCAATACAAGATAATGCTTTGTTTAGGGGTTGAGTTCTCCCTTTCTGATCTGTTGCAAAGGTCTTACCTCAATTAAACACAACAACATTGGTAGAGTTGTTCTGGGTTTACAATGTGGCAAATTGGAGCAGTGTGTGGTGACCCAATATCCTCCCCCCCCCGCCCCCGAGAATTCTGCAGACAAAAGTGTGCAGGTTCTGGGATAATTAACTTTGTTTTCTAAAGATATGCTTATTTTTAATTGGTTAAAATTATATATATGACTTAATTTTTGTGAAAATATTTGTGTTTTGCTGTAGTGAGGAACTTTGAGTGCTCAAACTTGGCCAAATAGTTTTATAGTAACAGGTTCAAAGGGAAAGTCATAAAAGAGTTTCTAATGCTTTTTGATTTTGAAAGGAACACTTCAGACAAAAAAAAAAAAAAGACATCTGTATTATTCAGCTTTTTAAAGGGAAGATCTTCTTTTTACGCTTAATATTTTAAGTGGTGGTTGCTTTCATTGTTAGAAGTGCAAACAAAACACTTCAGCTCTGACACTCATCAAATAAATGTTGCCCTATGGGCATTGTTCAAAAGCCGTGTTGTGGAGATTTCTTTTGTCTGTGTTTGTTGTTTAATTGGTTGGTTTTAGCAGTCTAAAGCGTTGCATACAGAGCTGACTGTGGGATTAATGTTTCCTCCTAGAACTGTGATCCTTGCACAATTAGAAATCCCTTGCCTTGTCACCCAGAAAGAGGGGAGGGGAAAAAAGAGATAGGAATTTGGAGGTGCAATTCTAATCCCAGATACCCATCCCCCAGCTGTGTTGAGATGTTGGCCAGCATCCGATTGTACTGCTGAAACAAAGGCTTTGCTTCTCAGCTGAGCAAAACTAGATGAGTATTTCTATCTCATGCAGAAAGTTCATTGGTTTCAGGAGATGTCCTAATTTACAGGAGATGTGTAGTTCACCGTATTGGCTGGGTATCCTGCCAGGGCTGGTCAACTAGTGAGGCTTCTGGAACAAGTCTGTCCTATCTTGAATGCTTATTTTTTAAAGAGTGTTTGTCAAACTGTTGCACTCTAAGTACACATGAAGAATTCCTCCATGCGTCTACATCCCTGTGTTGGAGAGAGGTGGCAGTTGCATGCTATCAGTATTGGAGGTAGGAGAGCTTCTTGAGAGCTAACAAGCGTGGGCAGGCTTCTCTGATGGCATCAGGCCCAAGCAAAGGCTGTTGAATACAAAAAAACTGTTTCTGGCTCAAGAGACTGTTGAGATAAAAGTTGTGGAGGTTTAAAGATGATTTGAGGGGGCTTTCACTGCCCACTGGCTCTGCTTGTCTACTCTGACCTATATAGGCCTTCACTTTATCAAATGTTGGAGACAAAATACTGGTCTATAGAAGTGTTCGGTGTGCCCCAGTATAGCTGTTCTTATATTCAATTAGTTGAAGTAGTTGTGGAACAACAGCAGTTTAAATGAATCTGGAAGAGGCTCTGGGTTTCTATTTTGTATTTATTGAGGCAGGAAACAGTTTCTGTAATGGTGGGGGTTTTTTTGTTTTGTTTTGGTTTGGTTTTTTTTTTGAGGAGCATTGATACTTGTTTGAACCTTTGTATTTTTCTCTCCCGAGCTCTTGTTCCGTTTTTCTTTCGTGTTTGTTTTTAATACCATTTATAAGACTCTTTTGGAATGGAAGTGTTTTGCAAAATCTATACGTGTGGCATGGCATTATAAAAATCTCAGTTGGGTGTTTATGATACAGCCAGTTCTTGGAAGGACCTTTTCTGGGTGCTCTCTGCTACTAGTTTTGAGCTCCTCATGACTGTTGATTTGGGTATCTCCCAGGGTTATTATGAGAGTGTGTTATTTTCTGTGTATGATGGGTAGAATTGAGGCAGGCAGAGATGCTGAACGACTTGCCCTTAGATCTGGTGAAGGTCCTAAATGAAGTTAAGTTTCTCTAATTATCAGGTAGTGGTACAAACTGGTTAGTGCCCAGACAGGAAAAAGGCAGTGTTGGGGTGGCAGCCTGTTTGCAGGAGAAGACACAGTATAGCTCCATAAATGTAGGTCAGGGAGTGTGCCTGGAGGTACAAATTTCAGTGTGTTGTTAAGGGGGGTTGGAGGGAAGAAGCCACCCAATTTCAGCTGCAGCCAGCATTCCTTCTGGTTTACAGAAGATTTTACTAATGCTTCTCATAGTGGTTTCTTGAAATTAGATAAAATGTTCTTCCACTGCTTCAGAACAAAGGAATGCAGCATTGTGTTTTTCTGTGTGGAGTAATAATGCTGCTGTTGACTTATTTTTATTTTTGTTTTATTTTGTTTTCCAGCTGCTGCTGCAGAAAGCTCCCTCAGGTTACTGTCCAGCGTGGCCCAGGAGGTGAAAGGACGAGGTACTATAAGCTGGATAGACTGTGGGTATGTGTCATGCTGTTTATCTCTTCCCCTCCCCGCCTTTTGGCTTTTATTGCTGACTTAGCTTTTTTGATGGCTCTGAAACTTTTTGCTTGTAACTGAACCCACATCATTCTGTGTAGTTTCTTCATCGCTGTAGGGTGCCTACATCTTACCATATTCTTTTCCTTCAGACCAGTGGTGGGGAATCATTTTTTCCTTATGGCTGTTGTTATTTCTTCTCTGACAGTACATTTTTCAGCCTGAAGCTGGAGACCCCAGCTAGCATCACCTTTCATGGGGGGCACATAGCATGGAAACTCCGACTGCTTCAGCTTTTCAACAAGGTGGGGGAGGAGGAATCCCACATCTTGTGCCTCAGCAGGAGGGCAGTGCAGATCTGCTCCAACAGCAGATGTTGCACGAGCAGTAGGGCTGCTTGCTTGGTTTTGAAGCATCCACCCATTTGTGTTTCTCAATAAAATGTGCTTTCTTTTAAAGAACTTCCTCTGTGCTTTGTAGGTTCATGGCAATTTTTAATGTGAACGCAGGGAAACTTATTTTTGTAAGTGGTTTCTTGTGTGTGGAGGAATGAACAGGTGTGTACTTTCTGGTTTGCAGATGTGAAAGCCTTCACTGTGGTTCTGCTCAATAACACATTGCCTGTGGTTTTAGCTTGTGTATCGTAGTGCCTTTCTGCCTCTGCAGCTTTGAGAGCTTTGCCTGCAAGTGGCAAATTCCTCTTCCTGTGCTGCAGAGGAACAGCTTGCTGCCTACCTGCGTGTTTGGGTGGATTGCCATGAATCCATTGCCACGAACAAATTGTACGCTGTGCACAAATCTGAGTCGGCTCTGAAAAATCACAGAATCACAGAATGGCAGGGGTTGGAAGGGACCTCTGGAGATCATCTAGTCCAACCCTTTTGCGGAAGCAGGTTTGCTGTAGAACAGGTCACACAGGACAGCATCCAGGCAGGTTTTGAATATCTCCAGGGAAGGAGGCTCCACAGCCTCTCTGGGCAGCCTGTTCCAGTGCTCTGCCACCTCAACTGTAAAGAGTTTTTTTCCTTATGTTCAGGTGGAACTTCCTGTCTTCCAGTTTGTGTCCATTGCCCCTTGTCCTGGGGGCATGTGGCTTCCTTAAAATTACACTTTTGAAACCAACCTCCATCTATCAAGCAGTGACACAGAGTAAGTCGTTGGTAAATCAAAGCTAACATGCTGCTGTTGGTGGTTAACTTGTCTTGCTCTTCCCCTGCCACCAGGCAGGTATCTTTCCCATGGAGTCCTCTGCTTCCGCCTTCTGTTTGCATTCTGCTGGGCTCATCCAAATGCAGAGACACTTTCATCTCTGCCCAATTGATAGGGACGGTGTTCCAAGTCATCCGCTGGCAGAAAGCAGGGCTGCTCCTTGGAGGTCAGTGAAACCTGTACCACTTCCCACCCGCTGAAAAGCCAGCAAATAAATTGTATTGACCCTGATGAGGATGAAGGTTGTGTGGAGATCTGGCATACCTCTGAAAGTCTCGTTTTCTAACAAAAGCACTGATGAACGGTTTTTGGTTGTCAGTAACGATGGCTAGCAAATAGGATTTTGGGCCAGCTTCTTGGCTTTAGTTTGTGATCAGCCCCATTTGTGACTGTGGAGTGGTCACTACCTCTTTTTGTCTTCTGTTTCCCTTTTGGTTTAGGCTACCTCTCTGTTGCGGGACTTACTGCTTATGGTGTGTGTGCACCTATGGCATATGTATACAACTGCTGTCCCTTCAAAGTGCTGATATAATACAACTAAGCAATAACCATCTCCAGGGTTTTAGTTCTGGGTTGGAAAAGGAAAGATTCAGTGTTTAGGCCTTCAATTTGAAATCCAGGGAAGTTTTGGCACTTAGTTCAATGTATCAGTCTCTGCTCCTGAGTTTGTAAGTGATGGGGACTGGGAGGGAAATGTGTTGTTTTGTTTTGCTGTAAAATGCACTTCAATTCATCAAATCCTAATATGCTCTCCCTTTCCAAATGTTGTCATCTAAACCAAACTTTGTTATGAAGTTACTTGCAAGAAACGTTTTAAAGTTTGCTCCAGGTAGTGCTTTAATACATTTTGTAGGAAGCTTGGTAATTGCAGTGCCTTTCCTCTGACTGTGGTGGGGAAATATTTAAGCTTCCTTTTTGTAATGAAAGGTGAGTTATTCCCAGAGAATGAAGCAGCCTGGTGAAAGTCATGCTGTAAGAGGTTGGGAGACCTGGGAATAGATTTGTAGGTTCCCAAAATTTGCTTTGGTGCTAGTAATAACGCGATCAGATTGCCACTTGCCAAGTGACAGGCAGTGGACGGGGTGCTGTAACATGGCAATAGCTGTAATTGTCTTCGAGGGTTGAGCAGCACTTCCTTTCAGATCACTTGTTTGGGAAGAACCTGGAGATAATAGATGATCTGTCCAACTGTAGGTGGGTATTTGTCAGAGATGTCTCTTCTATTCCTCACTCCTGCAGAGGGATGTCATAACAAAGTTTGTGAACTTGCCTCATGGTGCAAGGTGAGCTGGAAGACTTGATGCATGCAAAAAAACCTCCCGAACGAATAGTTTGAGCCTGAACCAAGTTTTGTGGTTGATTTGCTTGCTAAACCTTTAAAACATTCTGAAATCAATCTCAGTGTTGAGATAACTTTTAAACATTTTTTTTTTTCCTGGAAAGTGTTTTTTTTTTTTTTTTCCTTTACATATTGCCTTTTTTTTTTAGTATACAAGTGGCTGCAAACTGCTGCCTGCCTCATCGCAGTGCTAATATGAGAGAGGCTGCCGTAAGTGCTGTCTGTCACTGGTCACAAAGGGCCAGTTGTAGGGCCTGAACAGCTGAGTCCTACCAGGGTTGCTCAAGCTATTCTCCCACTGCAAGTACGCTGTGAAGCTTATTTGCAAGTCTTCATGCTGAAACAAACAGTGCACAGATGCAGGGATATTTACAGCACAGGCTCAATTTGTTTTACAAATACTGACAAGAGATGGCTTGTTTGGCAGCAATATTTAGCAGGGAATTTTGGCTTTGGTCTTCACATCACACTGTAGCGGACTTCTTTGCCTTCAGATCCAAGCGTTGGCAAGGCTGGCATACATGCAGAGTTGTGGTTTGTGTCTCTGCTTCCCTGTGGCGATGACGGTAGTCTTTTTCTTTTCTTTATTGGCGGTGCTTTTTTTGTTTCTTGTCATTCTCCTCCTTCCCCTCATTTTCAGGAGAAAGCAAGAACATACTACTCCACTGATGGAATCATTATGGATTGCTAAGTCTCGGCAGTATGTTGTGTATTACGTACAGCGGAGGGGAGTGAGCAGGTTTGTGGCTGGCGGCGTGCTGCCTGAATTGCTGGCTTACATGGAAACAGGGCTCCTTGGCCTTGGTTTTTGTTGGGTCTGTGGTGTGAGACAGGGGGTTAGACTTGAGCTTTCAGTTCCAGGTTGAGTGGTCTTGGAGAGACCAGGGAGGTTAGTTTTTCAGCATAATGTGGGGAAATAGTTGGTTTCTTGCAACTTCGGTTAGTGAGAAGTAGAGGAGGTTGTCACTTAGTTTGTCACTTTGAGGCAGGGTAGCGGGGTCCCCAGAGCGCATGGGCTGAGGAGTTGTAGGGCTGGGAAGTGCCAAATACCTGCCTTTCCCGCGCAGTTAGGCTCGCTTGTGTTAAGTGCCGCTCTGGAGCAAGACCATGCTGAGTGCAGTATTGTAGATAAGGTGCTCATTCACGGGAGATTTCAGTCAGTTTGTGCAGGCAGGTAGACACCTCCTAGAGATGAAGGGGCAGCACGAGGACTGCTTGCAGCATTGAAGCGGTCATTGTTTGCTCCTGTGTGCTGAGATAGCATATGCGGCTCTGTACACAATTAAATGTGAAGTTATTTCAATTGTGAATGAAAGACCCACAAATAATGTGACAAAAATATGGTTTATTCTTTCCATGTTTTAATTAAAAGTCCTTGCTGAGTGGTTGATGTTGAATGAATGGTGAGAGAACAGAGCACTGAATTAATCATGCTCTGTGAAATGCATGGTATCAGGGCTAGAGCACAACGTTGTGCGTTGGTAAATCTTCTGCAAGTATTTTGGGACTTGTGTTTGGGGACATGCAACTTTAATAGTTGCTGAGAGTCCCAGCTTCTGTTCCTGGCTCTGCGAATGATTCATTTGTTACTTTGTGCTGTTAAAAGGTGTATCTGTTTTCCAGGCAACTAGATAAATACTGCCTGATTGATTAGTCAGTGTTTATAAAGAGCGTGGAGAACTTTGAAAGGAAAAATGCTACGGCAGCACAAATGAGTGCTCTTCATTTAGTGTGTTCAAATGGTACTGGGATGGGCATGTAAGCAGGCAGAGGGTTGGGTTATTTATTGAATTATTTTTATTAGTAATCTGATAGAAATTTTGAAAATTGAAGAGCTTCATAGGGACTTCAAAGCTTAAGATGTCTGCAAAAAGAAACTATCGTGTCCTTTTGTGTAGTCTCAGAGTCCGGCTGCTGCTAACTGTAACAGCAGGTTGGGGTGCAGTGGAGCTGTGTGTGCTGCATAGGCAGATGGATGGTCGGTGTGCATGCTGCAGAGCCTCTGCATCCCCCCTTGTCTCCCGAAAACTCCATCTTTGTAGGCGTAGTACAACTGGAAGTAAGCATTGATGTGGTTGAGTAAAAGAGGAATTTCATGAAAAACAGAAACTCTTGGCAAGTCCTTATGGTGGCAAGTAAAAGGTACAAAGTAATGTGCCTGCTTAAGTGAAAGACAAAATTTTTGTTCATTGTCTTTAAATTAGACAAAGCTCAAGTCCCAGTTTGTGATGGCCCAAGGTCTGGTTTTGAAGACTAATCATTATAAAGTTATCCACTACCCTTCTTCAGTAAGTTTTGTGGTAGATCGTGGAGTGGCCAAGGACTTTGGGTGACGTGGAAAGAAAGTAAAATAGCTTTGCTGAAGAGAATAAAATGTGTTTGGCAGGTTATAAAACGTATTGTGGTCAGGTGCAGCTTTGAGGAGGTGGCAGAA